ATGATTAGATAGAAATAGAGAGAGATAGAAACAGGGATAGACAATAGATAGATGATAGCTTGCTAGCTTGCTAGATAGATAGATAGACAGACATATGCCAGAAGGGACTGGCAAATATATATACTGAGAACTGGTAATCCCAAGATACATAGGCTTGGATTTCAAATTCACATTATCGTTGTGTCACCATAAAATTTAAGCTCTTCGTTTAATAAAATGTGGCTTTAAGTTGATTGTGTCTTCAGGTATCTGCACTAAGCAAAAAACTCAGACACATTAGATTTTCTCACATGTACAATTCCAAGGAATATGAGCTCAGGGTAAGGAAAAAATTATAAAGCACATATATAAAGGAACAAGCCACCATGAATTATCTTCAGTAGAACCACTGACAGTAACCTCAGACTAGCAAAATCTGCAGATATTGGAATTATCATATAGAAAATATAAAATTAGTAGGCCAGGCATGGTGACTCAAGCCTGTAATCCCAGCACTTTGGGAGGCCCAGGCAGGCGGATCATGAGGTCAGGAGATCGAGACCATCCTGGCTAACGTGGTGAAACTCTGTCTCTACTAAAAATACAAAAAAATTACCCGGGCATGGTGGCAGGCGCCTGTAATCCCAGCTACTTGGGAGGCTGAGGTAGGAGAATGAAGTGAACCTGGGAGGTGGAGCTTGCAGTGAGGCCAGATTGCGCCACTGCAATCCAGCCTGGGCGACACAGCGAGACTCCGCCAAAAAAAAAATATATATATATATATAAAATTAGTAAACAGTTAAAGAAATAAAAGAGAGAGTGAAAAGTATGACCAAAGAGCAAGACATTATTACAACTATCAAGGCAGTATTTCCAAAGAGATTCATAGAAACATAAATGTAAAAAAATGAAATTAGAAATTGATTAGAACAATTAAATAGCAGATTAGTCACAAGTAAAGAGAGAATTCATGAAATGGAAGATAGAACTGAATAAAGTTTCACACATAAGCACAAAGAAAGAAATGAGACTTACAAAAGGCGTGCTAAAAGACATAAAAATAGAGTTAGTAGTTTAATATATGTAATTTAAGTTTTATAGAGAATAAAATGAATAGGAAAAAGCAATGTTCAATGAAGTAATTAATAGCTATAAAATTACCATATTTGAAGCTCAACCAATCCAAAGAAGAATAAATCAAAAGGCATCCTGTCCATGACTCACTATAATGAAAGAATAAAAGTTGGCTGAGAACAGAGATGGATTACATCGTTGTTCTAATGTGTTGTTCAAGTCTGATGGCAACAACCTTTAGACTGCCTGACTTTTCAATAGCAACAGTGGAAGCCAGAAAGCTGTGGCATAATATCTTTAGTGTTCTGAGAAAATATAACTTCAAATATAGAATTATAAAATCACCTTTCAGGAATAAGAGTGAAGCAAAAAATATAGATAGATAGATAGATAGATAGATAGATAGATAGATAGATATAATTAAGAGATCTTACTAGAAGCAAAGACTAGAAAGGACTACAGCTCTTTCTAAACTTTTAGAATATGAGTTTCATGAAGATGTTAATCGTTTAAAAAAACTAAGAGTGAGAGAAAAATGTTAATCAGAGAAAATAGCAAGCATAAGGCTAATTTAAACAAAACTGAATGGTATAAGACAAAATGTATTGATATTAAATGTCAGAATTAAAAGTATTGGATACAAATATAAGCTGGAAGGTAACACAGCCTAAAATCCTCGTATTGTTTGGGAACAGAGACTACATATTCCTTAACTCAGGACATGAAAAGTTATATCTGTATGCTAATATTTTGATGATAACCACTAAAAAAGCAGAGGTAGAATGAATAACTTCCAAACTAATAGAATGAAAAAATGTGGGAGCTAAGTAGACAAACATGCAAGCAACAAACAACAAAAACACTCTGTATCAATTCAGAAAAAGTGAGAAAGGAACAAATAACATATAGAAAAAAGGAGCAAATAGAAAGCCCAATTAAAAGGGTAGAAACTATTTCAAATTTGTCAATTATTATAGTAAACATAAAAATATCAAATTATAAGGTTAAGAGATAAAGACTTCAGAATGAAATGAAGGTTACAACTATATAGTAACAACAACAACAACAACAAAAAAAAAACTGCTAGCCAATAGATACTAACAAAAATAAATGTTAGTGTCCTATATTATCATTTCATAAAGTAGACTTTAGAAGAAAGGGCATTGCTAGCCAAAAAGAGAGGTGATAAATAATGAATGATAAAAAAATTCAATTCACTGAAAAGATATAACAATTTAAAATTTTTATACTGCTAAAAATATGCCTTCAAAATTTAAAATGAAAAATATTTGAGAACTTGAAGCAAAAATTAAGAAATGGTAGATTTTAAATGCTATGTATTATGTTCTTTAAAAGGGATGTGACAAGATTTATGAGGTATTCAGTAAAGTTAAAAAATAATGAAAAATCAACTGTGACTGATTTTTTTTTTTTAACAAACTGATAACCAGCTATAGAATTCTGAATAGATAGGCAGCTTAAAGATAAACCAGTAAAATCACTGATTTTAAGAATAAAGGGACTGAGGTCCCAACAGGTTTGGTAATACACCAAAAGGTCAGACAAGGTATACTGGCACAAGTACGACTAGAAGCAAATTAACTGACTTCAAGGTCAGAATTTTTTCTATATTACTATCAACTAATTAAGGATATTTGCACACAGCCCTATTCTCAATTGCAGTTCTCTTATAATACAAGTATACTGGTTTTATTTCGGTTTTCTTTGCTTCCTCACAACCTCCTTTATCTTATGTGGTGAGAGAAGTAAATTTGTGTTAAAATAAAAACTGGAAGATACAGATATTTCAGATAGGATGAAATGAAAAAGTTGTAGATAGCAAGTACACAAAACTAACTTGGAATAAGTCACATAAATTGAATCTTGGTATAGAATATTTTCCCCTATAAAGTTAAATATAAGTAACACCACATCTTGTTCTGAGAATAAATACTCTAGATTCTGCTGGAAATTACTTACAACTGGAAGTAATCTGGACACAATCAGAAGTCTGAAGAATCCTATAATCTCTTTCACTATTCACATCACCATGTGATGAAATTTGTAGGACTGGTGGAGAAGAAAAATGTTATAAAGAAGGTTACACTCTACTTACCATATATTGATTATTTGGTCTTCTCTAACCTGGTATCCTTTTGACCACTCCTCAAAAATGATTATGAAAAATAATTATCAAAAAACTCACTCTTAAGAAATCCAATGAATATTTTTACTTCTAATTTGACTTAGTCTTCCTCGGTCTTTAAACTTATTTATTGCTTTCTCCTTCTTAAAGATGTCTTTCCCTTGGTCACTGTGATACCATTATTTTCAGATTTTTTTTTTTTTCAAAATGGCTTTTTATATTTCCAAGAATCAGTTTTCTGACTTTGTATTTCCTTACTCTACATCATCTTCCTTTGAAAGGAAAGCCCACTATGAGTCTTGGTTTACTTGAATTGAAACTGGACTATTGACATTTATTCAGATTAATATACAATGTCATCTTCTCTTGACTTAACTACATAATCTCTACTCTCAGTTATTTTTTCATTCAATCCATTTTCCATAAGGTGGCCAGATACATAATTTTTAATGTAAAAATCGAATCATCACACCCTTACCCCCAAATCTTTAACACATTCGTTCTTACAGAGATTTTGAAAAAAAAAAAAAAAGAAAGAAAGAAAGAAAGAAAGAAAGAAAGAAAGAAAGAAAGAAAGAAAGATTTCTCTTCAGCCCAGCATACAAAGCCCTCTATCATCTGTCCTCAGCTAAACTTTTTAGGCTTCTCTTCATGATTTCCATGATTCTACACCATATATATTATACTTGAACAACACAAGACTACTTACTATTAGTCTCCAGACATGCTATTCTCTCTTGCATTTTCATAATTTTGGTGTTTGTCTCTCCATGCATAAAATCTTTTTTTTTTTTTTTAAATGAAATTCTCTGCCTGGTAGACTACTTATTGCTCATTCTTCTAGGATTAATGCATGTGTTATTTCCTCAGTGAAGTCCTTCTGGGCTCCCTCAGGCAGGGTTAGTATTCCCTTCTTAATGTAGCCAAGACACTTTATTCCTCTCTCTATTATCGACTTTCCACATTGTATTAGAATGCTTTGCTAACGGCTTCTCTTCCCCAGTGGACTGTGAGCTCCTGGAGGACAAGGCAATGAAAGCAAAGCAGAGTGCCTGGAACATAGCGAGTACTGGCTAATTTGATGTTGGCTGCACAAATGGCCTGCTCTGACAACTGATGCCTTGATCACATTGGTAAATGCCTAAGAGTTTCTGGAACTGAAGCTCACATCTTATGTCAGCGGAAGTGGGTGTGTCTGTAAGAGTAAAAGGGCAATAATTTAGAACTTACTTAAGTATAAAACAAATAAAACATAATAAAAAGTCAGCACCTTTTATCTTTCTGGCTTTTCTGTTTCCATAATTCTATCTATGATGTAGGTGTCACCTTTTCCTTTGAACCCAACATCCAATCAGTCACTACCAATTAGACTATCATTGAAAATAACATATATCACCTTCTCAACTATGGTTTACATTCCTCCTTGTTTTCCACCCTTTAATTCCCACCTGACTTGAGACTAGACATTTCCTACTCATATTGTTATCACAGTCTCCTAATTACAGAAGTTTTAAATTTCACCCCTTGAGCCATAACCCATCTTATATATTCTACTCTTATGTTAATATATCTAAGTGGCATTTTAAACTAATCACTCCCCTATTAAATACAATAACAAAAACTTCCAATGATGTTAAATAAACTACACTAGCTTAGTATTCAAATTCTGTAGAGCTCCTTTCTGGCTTCACTTTCACTGTGACCTCACCGGATCTTTGTTTGCAGTTACACTGTTAGCATCGTGAAGCAGGAGCCATGTCACCTGTAGTCAACATTCTATCATCACCACATAGCACATTTCCTAGTACATGCTAGATATTCAAAGCTTGTTGAATAAATGACTGAAAGGATGCAGAGTTTTCAAAATTTCTTCTTCAAGTACTTCTGCTAGAGCAATGAGTAGAGCGGGAAGTGAGCAGACAGGGTGGGTATGTGGGTGGGAATAGGGCAAGTGACTTAAGGTGGTGTGGGTGGGCTCCAGTATCCACTTCTACTTCAATCAGAGCAACTCAACAATGCTACATATATAAGGTATGTATTGGGGTGTTAGTATACATTTTCATATTAAAAACAATGAGTTTTAAAACTGACAGACCACTTATTTTAATACAGAAAAAGGGGTAGGGCTTTGAAAAAAGAAAGACCTCTTAGTTTAAACTCTATGAAACTCGATTTCCTTTTTTATATCATAGAGTTATTATGAGGATGAAATGAAATAATGTATGTAAAGTGCCTGGCTCATGGTATGAAACTTCATCTTCCTCGTACCAACCCGCTGCTTTTGCCAGCAACGCCAGGACTAAGGTGAGGCAAGTGAGTGCCAGGGGCACAAAGTTTAAGGGGGTAATCATTTTCAGGGTCATGCACTTGACCTACAAGTCATGACACACTGGCCAAACCAGACTTCAAAACTTTTTCGAACATGTTGCTTGTTCTTTTCACTGAGACTATCCTCCATGCCAATTAAACCTAAGGAAAGTCTACCTAGAATACAACCATTTCTTAATAAAAGCTTCTGCAGTCATCCACCAAGAGTGTGTATTTCATTTCTCTTTGTCTCT